TTTTTTAAAAATGGTCTGACAGAATGTAAATAAGCACTCTGTAATTCTCAGGAAACAATAGAAATTCTATTAATGCAGTTGTGAATTTTTGAGAAAAAATCTCTGAATTAAAACCACATTACATTTTATTATTACTAATTGAGCCACATGTTACACACGTAAAGAATAGTTTTATAAGTTTAATTTTGCGTTAAAACATGTGGCCTTCTTAGAAAGTAAGTCCACTAATTAGAGTGAGCGAAAGAAAAAATATTTTACAAAATCACACAAAAAATAATTAAAGTTACATACGAATTTTGACAAAAATAATTAAGTAATAAGATATTTGAAAATAATTATTTTAAATAAAAGAAAGCAAGAAAAAAAGTATTGAGAAAAAGATATTAAAAAAATAAACTGTGAAAGAATATTAGAGAGAAAAAGACAATAGGTAAAAGAAAAGAAGAAAAAAATTAAAAAAAAAGAGAAAAAGAAAAAAAATAAAAGAAAGATGATGACAAAGTAGAAGCAAGAAACCAAAGTGAAAAGAGTCAGAAAAAGTAAAAACAAAAAAAACAAAAAAAAAACATAAAGAATAAATGAAAGACTGACATAAATGAGAAACAACCTCTTCAGCTTTTTTATGTATATATATTAAATTATTATTATTATTTTAAAATTTTTGAAGGATTTGTTCTTTTTAATTATGTAGTTACTGCTATTTTAATTATTAAACTATATATTTAACGATAATTTGTAATTATAGCAGTTATCCACAAATCATATAGTTGAAATCTTAATCTAGCTAAAACTAGGTTAAAAAAGACGTGTTGTACCGATGAAGTTCTCTATTTCTTTTTTTTTTTTTTTTTAAATTTTTATAAGTGGAATGAAATTCACGTTTTACTTTTCAAGATAGCAAAGAATCGGGAAAGAAACCGCATCAGATTGAGATATTCCCTTTGAGCTTTGACTTTGAGTTCAAGAGAATAATTTTTTATTTTTGATTTTATCGCAAGCAGCAATAATTTCCATGCACGCCCTGGCATATTAATGTACTTGAACGGCAATGAATAATAAAGATAATGATATGTCGTTTTGTCAAATATGCGACTATGCACACTCATTAAGGACTTTTTTTCTTTTAGAGGCTGTTTAAGGGTCAATGACTGCTCTCAGGTGGTGATTGTATTGGTAAGTTAATTTCGATCGATTTGAGTAGATATATTGTTAGAATAAGAATGTAAAGTGCTGAAAATTAAATGGACACACGAATTTATAATTGTTCTTCTGATGATTCCAAGGCACCTCTACTGTGTGGTCTCGAAAATTTTACTATATAATGAAAATAATACAATTACAATGCTTTTGTGAGAATTTGAGAAGAGGACGAGCGAGAGTCTAGAGAGAGAGTCTTGAGCGTAATATGATGAGTTTAGAATGTCTTGGTTGTGATTATTGTCCCCTATTTATAGGAGATGACTTTCTAATTTCTTTTTCTCTTAGATTGGATAGTTTCCGTTTTCTTTTGGTTAACTTTCCCTTTCCTTGTTATCATATTGGCTTCTTGAGATATTTCTTGTTTATTATTGTCCTATTCGACCCTTTAATGTAGGATTTAGCTGAGATAATCTTCGTGGCCTCCAAAGAATCTCTTTCCTTAAATATTGGCGGTGGTCTTTACACTCCTCATGTCGTCAGTCTTCTCCAGTCGTCTTGAGTTGATTTGGACTCCAGTTGATTTCAGTTGATTTAAGTTGACATTTTTCTCTAAATGATGTCCACGTGTACGGGGATGATTGTGGTGTTGATTTTTATCCTAATTTTTTTTTCCTTTTAACTTAGATCAATGACAACAATTTGTGAAAGACGCAAGTATGCCGTTTTATTTTCAATTATTAATGAGTCGTATATTTTAGGGTATTAATAACATATGCACGAAAAATCTTACTTTTAGAGCGACGGGTGACAATAAATTTTGAAGGAAGCTGACATGTCGTATCTTCTGTAAACGATACTTTATTTTGTCTATTAACAATCTTAATGTTAGAATTTTTTGGGTACCATTTTTTATATGAAAAAATTAAAATTAAAATTAATATAATATAGTATCAAGCAGTATTTGGTGCATCAAATACTGCTTTATGATGGCTTTATATTATAAGTTATTTAATTTTATTAAAGCAAAAAAAGAATCAAAATTACAGACATGCAATCTGCACCGATAATGGGCCCGTTAGTTTTATGGGTTCAAATCCACTAATTTTGGATTAAATAATGTTTTTTTTTCAAAAAATTAAATTTAAATAATTATGGTACAATATTTTTTCTCACAAAATTTAAACTACCACTCAAAACACTGTTTTGAACCTATCTTCCAAATGGGCACATATGTTTTTCTTGAAATCGATAGACTATGAGCCTGGCAGTTGAACTCTATATCAAGCCATTTGTTCCATTGATTTGAATATAAAATTTAAACATAAATCCATTGTTTTCTTTTTAATAAAAAAACAAAAACATAATAGCAAAAATGTTAGAATTGTGATTCAAATTAGCGAAACAAAGAGACTCTTGATTGAGCAACGTGTAAGCCTTATGTAATCCTATCCAAAACGTAACCAAAGCAAATTCCTATGGCCTAATTTGCAGCTCAAATGTAATCCAACATGCTTTAGGACAGATAACTATTATATGTTGCCAGGCCATTTTATAAGATGATCAAATGAAGACAACTTATATTCATAAATTCCACAAATGAAAGAACATGTTATTATTTAAAAAAAACGTTTATTTTCCCCTCTTATAGAAACCAATGAATTACCAATGAAATGTCATGAAAATAGGCTTTACAAATAGTAAATTTGAAAGGTAGAGAGACCTTAAAACTCTTCAAGGTTAATGGCATCTCTAGGCATCTCAAAGGCATCTTTTGGTCTAGATTTCTTCACACCAGCAGTGAACCAAACTTTATCAGACTTGTAGCTCTCAACAGCAACACTTGTGACCTTAACCCAAACCAAAACCTTTGTTTTCATCCCTTCAACCCCACTGAGCTTTCCCCTTGAGAGTGTCGCCTTGACGCGAGTGGCGTACCTAATGACGGATGAGTCCTTGAAGCTGACCTCACAGGGAGACGGCAAGTATACGATGAGCTTACCCTTCGCCTCATCAAGCTCGTAGCACGTTATGTTCCGGGGAAATAGGCCCGGAGGAAGATTGTACTCTCGGAGGAGGTCAGCCAAGGCTTTCTGTGGCTTTCCTGCAAAAGCAGGCGTATACAACATCTTTACATTACATGGAAAAGAAGAAAATGGCTTATCTGTGAATGGCATTTGGATATACTATCTTCAATGCAAATGCTATTGTCAATACTATATTTAGCCCAAAACGTATGAAAATGACACGTTTACTATTATTCTATTTTATACTCCAATGCATAGTACTGTTTTAAATGCTATGTCACCTATTTGTCATAAATTTTAATCGTTGTAACTTGTTGAAGAAAAATTTTGAATTTTCAACTAACTTGAAAATTGCAATGTTGTAAATATAAGCGAGAAGTTAGGACATCAACCAATAGCAACCAATTGTCCAAATTTATCATATACTATAGTTAGTGCTAATATTTGACACTAAGTATAGTGTATGTCAAATTCGATGTTAAGTATAGAATTGTATTATAGAATGGTTTTCTTACCCGTATACTAAACTTCGGAGTTAGCATATAAAATTCGGTATTACCTCAGAGATGCTAGAAGGGAATGACAAACATAGATGCAGGTTTGCACTTATTGTAAGTTAGGTAGAGAGATTCAATTTTGTGATTCTTGAGATACTGGAAAATGAAGTGCTAAAATGTTGTTTGTGAAATTGTATGGGGAAAAAAAGATTGAGTGCATTCCGGAGCACCAAATGTTTGGTCATGGGTCAATATCAGTACTTAACTAAAGTTTAAAGATACAATTACTCTTTCAATATCCAAAGCAACTCCTAATCAAAGATTGGCCACAAATGTTTTGAGTTGAGATATCCATCAGTTAACCTCATTGCCTAATGACAATATACCAAACATAGTTGCTGAAAATTTTCATTTGTTCATTTACTTCACTTTGTGGAAATCCTAATAATTTGCTGTGAAGAAGTCTATGAAGCTTTAATATGAAAAAGGCACCAGAAATTGCGCTTTTGAGTACCGGAAAATATGAGCTTCAATTCAAGGGTTCAGAATAAGAGGATAAAGGCATTAGGGTAACAAATTATGAGCCTCAAACAAGAACTTAATGCTCTCGCTACATTGGCCCAACTTTGTAAATTGTAGGATAATGGACAAAAAATTCACAAGCAAAAATTGCCCACCAAGGAATATATTATACACAATTAAAGGAAAAAAAAAAAGAAGGAAAGAAAAACATTTTATACCTTTCAGCTTGTTGAATATCCATTT